GAATTTGTGCGGAAAAAATTTTATAAAGCAAAAAGATGGTAAAAATGTCATCGATTGCAGCCGCCAGTCTTAGCTTTTTTTTTTGTAAGAATGTTGTGATGGAGCTTTTCAGGTGCTTGGTATCAAAGATCTCGAGTGCAAAGTTGTAGGCTCAACCAAAAATTATATTGCTCTTACACACGCCTTTTTTGTAGGTAAGTCCATCATTATGCACAGTGAAATTTTCAAAAGTAGTAGTAGTGGTGCTGTGTTCATGATGAGTACACTTCAACGGAGGAGGCACGTTGCTGTTTTGGCTCTTTGTACTTTAAATCTCCTCATCCAAGTTCGAGATATTGCAGCGTTTCATCGTCAGATTTAACTTTCCGTCATAAGTTTTTAGTTTCTGGTGGAGTCCAGTGGTTTTGCGATTAAAATTTTCGCATCTCTGGTGAAAAATGTCCTTTTCAAGTTTTGTCTCCTGGCGGAGTTCTCAAACTAAGTTTTTTCTGTTCAACTTTCTTCTACTCATACGATTTTTTCCTGATGGGTACTTCTGCTTATTGTACATCACTGTACGTAAACTTGTTGCTTTTAATATCAAATCATTTGAACTGCTTATATATTGCAGGTCTTCTGAATCAAGAAACTCATCAACAATTAGCTGAGCGTAAAAAATTACATGTAGTGGAACTGTCACCACAACGGCGTTACTTTCCAGTGAAAGTGGCTTCGCCGATTCGTTCCGAGTTGAGGACGGAACAAGATATCGAACCCAAAGAAGTGAGTATTCTTCTCAAAATTGTAGTGAATATAGTTTTCAAAACTGAAATGAACATTCAAATTTGAATGCTGTTACGTGGCTTGCCTTGCATGATACGGAGGCGCTCGGAATAGCCCAGATGGAAGTATGTGTCAGTAAAATGCACCGGTTGGTACGTGAGTCCCCATTTTATTACGAACTTTCTCTTCTATGGATTATTTTAAAGCAAAACAGTGGTAATCACCACTCCTTGGCATGCATCTGCACTACTATATCATTGAAATAAGTGAAGGAACCGTAAAGGATGGCATGAATTAACTTATCCGTACTGGAATACGATATTTAAAAGTTAATTTGGTGATGCGAGGTCTGGATACTGACGTTTCAGTGGGCTTTTTAGTGTTTCTGCGCGCTACACTTTGTATTTTACCTTTCCACACGGCTCTGTGATCATGAAATTTTTTAGAGATTACTGCTGAATGATTTTTATGGAGAAGGGCGTTTACCAATTATCAAGCAGGAGGTCCCGTTCTATGCCAATCTTCCGAATCATCTCGCAGCCGAAGCTCTCAAATATCGGTTTCGAAATCGGGACAAAGTATGAATATTTCTGGCCCAGTGTAACAGAATGTTCAGAATTTGAAGTAGTGTTAAAGGAAGCGGCACGAACGATTCCTAAAAATATGTGATTTGTTTTAGTGTATGATTCGACTAATGGCTGATGATGTGGTACCACGATGGACTCGTGATGAACGTAGGAAGTGGGCCGATCAAAAACATCAAGACGTTATGGGTGGATTAATTCCA